TTCCAGAGCACTCCAAATACGGGCGAAAAGTGAGCAAATGTGTGCAGGAGCTTGCCAATGAGTTGAGATAGAAACGCTTATTGTGGGCGAAGAATATGCCGAAGTGGGCGAGGCCAAAGTGAAAGAATTCACGAATCGGTTGTAGAGCAGCATAGCCACCAGGACAAGCGGATTGAGGGGTCACAGGAGGTAAGTGAACCAAATTGGGGAAAAATCCCCAAAATGGTCGGCTCGTGCTCGAGATGGGCGGGGCTTGTGACGAACGGCGAAACTTCATATCTCGGACCTGAGTGAGCCTGGAGATCAGAAAAAAAATAGTTGGAGAACAAAAACATGGCTAGAGCTGGGTGTGTCTGCGGTGTGTTGAGACCAGCTTACAGTGGGCGAAGCGATCCCTCAAGCGCGAGGTACCTAGCTGCCTGTTCATCCTTCTTTTCCTTTGTCATTCTCCATCTTTGTTTCTTATGAAATCCCTAAATTTATATTCCTCTCTCCCTTTTCTGATGAGCGGGGAGGGGGAAGACTACAACTACACTTTCGCTCAGCTTCCGTCTAAAGGCACGTGCGAAGCAGAAGATGAGCTACATCTCTGCTTTCGAATCCCCCCCCCCTCTCCAATAGTTCTCATTTGTTCGATTTTCCAACATAGTACATTAATTTTCATTTTAAATGTTTTTTCTTTACTGTGTGTATAGGAAGCCGTAGTCCTATAGCCCATTAACTTCATTTTGAATGAGTTTTCTTGACTGTTTAAGTGCTTAGGCAGACGCAGTCATAACCAGCGGACCTAATTGCATTTGATACCATTCGGTTTACCGGCGCCCCTCCTTCTGTGATACGACCTGGCTCTGACGGGTAGGCGTGGCTTCACCGCGCCTACGTACGTTTGAGTGTTTGAATGCTTAACTTACACCCGGGTTTTCTCTGATCTGTGCACTTCATCAACGCTCCTTACCACTATTCCAGCCTTAACCAACATATATTCCACGCACGGTAGTAGTGTTGAAGATAGGAGGTATGATGTTATTGGTCGTCAAGGAGCGTTGAACATGTGTACGGATAGAAGGAAAGCCGGATATCAGTAGAATATTCAAACTTGTGAAAATGTAAGCGCGACGAGACCGAGCCGTGTCACAGAAGTAGGTGGGCCGGTATCAACGAAAGAGGGCGGGGCGGGGGGGGGGAATCAAGAGATTGGAACTTGGGGCGACAAGGTGCTGCATATGCATATGCACGCATGCGTGACCCCCCCCCTATTAAGACCTAATGACTTGGCTCAAATGGGATACAGAGCATCGAGCTAGGTTCTGGGCATCGCCGCAACTCGAATCTCTTGATTCGTACCCCACCACCCCCATGTTAGATAACAATATGCAAGAAAGTAGCAGTAGCATCTTTATGATCACAGTCCTTCAAAAGTACACTGAATTCGTTGTTGCCCAACAAGAACATTTCTGAACCTTGTTGAAGAAAGATAAACCCCGAGCCTGGATCACAGCAAAGGCGCTCCAACGTAAAGGGGTTGTATGAAAAGATTTCCAAGATATGGGCCAAAAGAATCAATACAACATGTTACAGAAGTTCATTCAACAATATCATCAAACAAAACAACTTTTACGCATCAATTTTCTTCACGTGCTTCTTTGATTTCGGTTGCTGGGAGCGAACAATAGCAGCGGCGCGCCTTTGAGCAAGCTGAAAGATCTCAATAAAATGTCGAAACCAATCAGAACAATTCTGTAATGTGTGCAGCCTTTATTCCTGTGAACGAGGGCATGTGAGAGGGCGTGAATGTGAGTGCAGCCGGCACATCTTTCTACCAAAAGATACAGGACCGATAGAAAAGGCTGTGACGTGCGCTCCAGTCCACTTCAATGTACACATCTTCTCGTTTGCAGAGATAACTATTTAGATGCCCCAGAAGCTGCTCAAAATGATGACATAAAAAGCATATAGCATACTGGGTCTTATTAGAAATAAACGAAAGACTGAAACAAAATAGACTTAAGGAAGATTATACGATTGTGAACACATTTCAGAGCAAGAGTAAAGCCACCAAGGCTGCAAAAGTGGATTCCGGCTTTCGCGCCACAGAACGAGCGTTGGAAGTAGCTGCAGAGGCTGTTGCGATAGCGAACTTTCTCCAGTGTCCGTTTCTACTATTCAGTTTCACCATTGCTCGCCACGCCCCTAGTGTATGTCGCATTCAGCAATTGTTTTTGGCCGCTACGCGTCAAAGAACATCGTCACCCGAAAACCACTTCCTTGGAAACAGCAAGTCGTCTGAACTTTTCAAACCAGTGTACTTCCCTAACTAATCATAAGAAGAAGACTTGGGCTTGAAATCATGAGCACACCAGTGAACACTCACGGTTTTGGTGTGCTATAACTTCATTATAAAAACCTTACAGTTCAGCGATTCGCAAGTTTCCAGCTCGGTAAGCACGTACCGCTACCTGTCAGAACACATCAACTGCAATTTTATCGCGCCGAACGATCCGCCTCCGCCGCACGCCCGCGCTGCCCGGGCGTTCCGCCTGCTTGGACCTAGACGACCGCGTTACGCAGCGAAGGCTGTGTTTATACTTTGCGGCAGCGCAGCGTAGCGCTTCCAGCGTACGCCAGCGGCAGTGTCGGGGAAGGTAGGTCGTATGACCTAGCGCCTTCCCAGCGTCAGCAGAGTACGCTAGCGCACGCTGGCGTAGCGAGGGCACGGGAAGCATAGCTATCGATCTAGCTTCACCAGCGTTTCTCCAGCGTTTTCCCAGCGCTTGCAGCGACGGGGCTAGAGAGGGGCTAGAGAGTATTGAATGTAGGAGAGTACAAAATACTCTCCTCCCTTCAATACTCTCTAGCCCCGTCGCTGCAAGCGCTGGGAAAACGCTGGAGAAACGCTGGTGAAGCTAGATCGATAGCTATGCTTCCCGTGCCCTCGCTACGCGAATAGACAATTGCGCAAAGTGCCCTTTAAAACGAAACTGCCAAATTACACCTCGAGACAAACATGTATTTTCACTATCTTATGCCATGAATGGGTCCACAGCTGCAGTGACGTGCCACTTCTTCGCTTGAAAGTGCATCAGAACGAAGCTGGAGGGATATGATACCAGGTGCCATCTCCGTACTCTGCCCCGCCATCCTCAATGTGCAACACTCGCGTTCGATACCAAGGTAACGCAGAGATACACGTATTCTGCGCACAGAAAAAACAACCTAGAAAAAGAGAGGGACACAGACAAGTAGATCACCGGTCTGACTACGCGTTAGGAGCATGACCGGCCGCTGCGGCAGCCCAGCGCGGAGGAGGTAGCGGATAACGTTCTCGTGTACCACCAACCCCCAGCCCCGTTCTGATGCACTTCTGACCGTAGAAAGTGGCATGCTACACACTGCACTGCAGCACCTCACCACGGCCACAGCCAGGATCCACGGAGATGAGTGTACAGTTCGTCTTAAAAGACACATGGTACGATCACACATAGTTTGGGTGTGCGTGACTATCACCCCCCAGCTGTCGAAGCGTAGCGGTTTCCCCGTCCTAACATGCGCAGGAATGGAGTTACGGGACCGTGAAACACGCTAATTCCTCCATGCTCGCCACATTTTGCGGCGCACACTCGCGGTTATGGTAACAGCCGTTATGTGCGCGCGTGCCGCGTGGCTCTTGGCACTTTGCCAAGTCCTGTAATTGCGCCTTGGAATACATGTAAAACACGATTTCCTGATGCCGATAACATTTCAGGTGCTGCAAACTAAGAACCGAAGATGATTACGAAGGCCAGAACTCAAGAGCAACTGCTCCTGCAACATCCCTCAGAGGCCGCGTGTTCCCACAAAATATGAAAATAAACAGCCTAAGCATCCCACTCGTTAGTTTATTATAAGCAAAACGCAATTTTCTCATTACGGATAACATCTGAGGTGTTGCTCATGCTTCAAAGTCCGAATAGAAGGTGACGAAGATGACAAAGGCTAGAAATGAAGAACAACGAATGTAGATATAAATAAAAATGAAAAAAATCAAATGCCACTTAATCCTCTGAATAAAATGCACATGTAAAAAAATTGCATTGGCGTTAGAATTTGCTGCTCAATTCGGCGCAATTCCAAAGCCATAAAAATACCTTAAATTAACGAGTGGGACGCTTAGGCCGTTTTTTATTTTCATGTTTTGTGGGAATGCCGGCCCCGAAAGGATACTGCGCAAGAAGCAGCCAGAGTGGCACTCGAGTTGGCCCTCGTCATCCATCTTCGGTTCTTATTTTGCAGCACCTAAAATGTCATCCGCATCAGGAAATCACGTTTTGCGTGTATTCCAAAGCGCAATTACGGACTTGGCGAAGTGTCCAGAGCACCCGGCGGGGCATGCCGCACACACGCGCGCACACGACGGCTGTTACCATGTACGGGAGTCTGCGCCGCAAAAGGTATTGGGCGGAGCATGGAGGAATTAGCGTGTTTCACGGTCCTGTATCTCCATTCCTGCGCATGTTAGGACGGGGAAACCGCTACGCTTCGACAGCTGCTAGTACACCCAAACTATGTGTGATCGTACCATGTGTCTATGAAAGATCAGTTAACATAACACCCCCAAAGAGGACTAAAACACTGAGCTGATGAGCGCACTCTCCATGGTCGCATAGAGTGATCACGTACATTAAAAAAAACCTAAAACAATATAGGTCCCGAAACGTTCTACTATTAGATAAGAGCAGGTCCTGTAGTCGTGATTCTCGAAAACGGTAAGGCTTAAAACGGCAGCGGCGCTTGGACAGAGCACCCACCAACTGCAGCGGACTCAGGGTGACACCACTGTTGTAACAAGGCAGCCCTGACTGCGCTACCAACCGCGCCGAGTCGCCGCGCAATCGTTTGCATGGACCAACACTGTACATCGTTACCTACACGTACCTCCAGGAGAAGGTGAGAACAATCTCCACTGGGGTGGAGGTCAAGGAGGACGAGCTGGACACCCGAGCTATCTCTAGGATTGAGTGACTTGTGCGCAGATTCCTGAAGCTTTTCGCCATGATAGTGAAAAGCAGCTACCTTAAAACTATTTCGACAACCTGATAACGCTGCCATTCATCTTTCATGACTCGGGCTTGATCTTTGGGAGGTCGTTCTCAACGGAAAGCAGATGTCTGCAGTACCCATTCACGCAGCCAAACAAGCTTTTATGGCCCGCTATATGAGGCTGCATTCATACATTGCAGCAGCGTCCACCAGCATCCACCAGCGTCTACGTCTACGAGCGTCCACAAGCCACTAGGAATGTATGGATACCGATCTAGCAATGGGCAGCGTCCACCAGGAGTGTATTTGGGAAGTAGGAGGGTAACAGACAGCTGGATTAGGCTGTGGGAAGTAGGAGGGTAACAGACAGCTGGATTAGGCTGCGTTCATAGCCTGCGACCGTGAAGAAATGCAGAAATGCGGAAACTGCAGAAGTGCGGAATCTGCATGAATGACGAAAAGCAATTCATACGTATCGATTTTCCGCACTGCATTACTGCATTTTTTCAGATCGATATGTATGGAATGCTTTCATTTCGCATGCAATTCAATGCATTTCTGCAGTTTCCGCCCTCCTGCAGTTTCGTCATTCCTGCATATTCTGCACTTTCCGCACTTCTGCAGTTTCGGCATTTCTGCATTTCTTCAAGTCGATACGTATCTATTGCTTTTCGTCATTTCTGCAGATTCCGCACTTCTGCAGTTTCCGCATTTCTGCATTTCTTCACGGTCGCAGGCTATGAACGCGGCCTTAGGCGTCGTGAAACCGTGAAGTGACACGCAAATACCCTATTTTTTTTTTTTTTTTTTTTTTTTTTTTTTTTTTTTTTTTTTTTTTTTTTTTTTTTTTTTTTTTTTTTTTTTTTTTTTTTTTTTTTTTTTTTAAAATCTGTTTTTAGGAGCGGCGTACGGTGCGTTGCACAATGGCAACTTTCACGATTACCTGTGCAGATGTATGCTCCATTCTGCTTCCCTGTACTCTACCAGCAGTCTGCTACCCTCCCTCTTCCCCCTAACTTTTGCTCCTAAACGCTGGTGGACGCTGCCATTTGCTAAACCGATGTCTATACTTTCCTAGCCGTTGGTGCTGGACTCTCGAAACGTTGGTGGTCGCTGATGGACGCTGCGCAAAGTATGAATGCGGCCTGAACAGAGTGTCATTTTCAAGTTCTTGCATACCCTTAGTGAAGCTGAATTAGCTTTGCGCAGTAAAAAAACAACCAAAAAATGAACCGAAAGCCAACCAAAAAAATGAACCAAAAGCGAGTTCAACAGTGGTTAGAAAAGCATCAATACCATTTGATGCTCTCGAAAAAATCCTCAAAGACTAATAGCCTCAATGAACAAATAAACGTACCTTGTAGAAAGGTGTAAGGCCCTGACTTTTGGCGATTGCCTTTACAGACTTTAACACCTTGTCACGGTTACGAAGAGTGACAGTATTGACGCTCTTAGCAGGTCTTCCCGTCTTACCTGCAAATACTCTTCATGAATGTACAAATTAAGCAGAAGAAAATTAGTTCAAAAAATGAAAACTCGGAAAAGATCTCTGCAGAAGGGTTGGCCACAGTTCCTCCAACATTTCACAAGTACCACAATAATGACTTTGGAAAACAAGGTTAAGAGTAGGAAAATGAAGCACTGATCCCTGGGTTCAGAATGCCAAGCGAGTGCACCAGGCGTTCATACTTTGCATCAGCGTACGCCAGTGTTTTGAGCATGGGCCAGCGCCAAGGACATGGAAAGCATAGTTATCGATCCGCCGTAGGCCAACGTATGCTAGCGTCCACCAAGGGTTAAGAGTATGAGGAATAGGACAGACTTTTGGATTAGGCGTTGTGAAATTGCTGCGTGTCAACGCTTTGCACAACTGTTAAAGCACAGGATTATGCAATCTTGATGTACAGCGTCGTGCAGCTTTACGGTGCGGTTGCACACCGCAATTTGACGACGCCTAACCAGCAGTGTGCTACCCTCCTGCTGCCCCATACTCTCCACTCCTGGTGGACGCTACCATACTCGACGTCAACACCCGACCTTTCTGATCGCTTTAAACGCCTGCACGCTGGCGTACGCTCGATCGTGCGCCAGCGTGACGCAAAGCATAAACGCAGCCTAAGGCTTGTCATTAGCTGTATGTCAAATATGATGTTGCGTACAAAAAAAGAACACAGGAAAAGAGGCGGTCAACGATAACGAAAAGAACACAACCCTGTCCTGATAGAAAACATACTCGTTC